TTTTTATTTTATTTATTATTATTATTTTTTTTTATAAGTAAATTTGTTAGCTACGTTGTTGCTGTTGTTGTTTTCTATAGATTATAAATAGAAAAAATTGTATAAAATTGTTGTGCAGCGCAAGTAGAAAATAATCTAAGCAAAAGGAAAATTGAAGAAAAGTTAGAACATATGTTGATAAAAAAGACCCTCTTTAAGGACACTTAAACAGAGCTATTTATTTGTGCGTGTATGTGTGTGTGTGTGTGTGTGTGTGTATTAGAAAAAGCAAGCGAAATATAACATTGCTCGCCTAGCGAATTGAGATTAGATCTAGCTGAAGGAAAATGCAAGCAAAGCAAAGCACACAGACTCACACACATACACACACACGCGCACAAACACACACCACACGCACACATGCATTTAGGCTTATCAAAAATATATATATGTATATGTATATGTGTATATGTATATGTGTATGTGTGTTTGTTTAGGTGTGCGAATCTAAGTTTAAAATCAGCTTGAGCGGACTCCACAGTCGTCGGCTAATGTGTGGGATTATCGCTGGCCAGACAATGCCACTTCTCGTGGAAATGATCCGGCAGCCGGATGCAGTCGAGCCACTGCTGCAGGCGATCACCTTTGCTTTGGGCGCCCAATTGGAGGCTGCCCAGAAAGTCGTTGCTCTTGCCCAGATCCTTGTCCCAGACGGTCAGGATGAGCATCTCCTTGTTCAGATCGTGCGGACTGGCCTCGAAATAGAACTCCTCATTGAAGACAGGATTCAGTGTGCGCCACTTGACGCTCGTCTTGTGCTTCTTATTCTTGTGCGCATCCGGTTTCAGTTGCCTGTTACAAAGAAAACAAAAAAAGATCAACTCATTTAGTCATCCGAATTGGGGGCACACCTACAGCTTGACAAAGGGATCCGAGCTGCCGTTGTTGTCCATGGGCAGCAGATTGATGCACTGCTTCACATTGACCACCAGCGCCCGCCGTTTCGTATTGTAGCACAGCGAGATGAGCATCTTGCCATTTGGCCAGCTCTGCGACATCTCCGCCTCGGCGCTATACTGATCCTCTGCACCCAGCGGCACGGATATCCGATACTGCGATGTGCTATGCACCTGCGAAGGGGGTTTCCAAAATTAGAATTGATTTCGCTATCAATTGAAATGGTTAAACAAACATAGATATAGACATAATCAAGCTTAGAGCTTGAAGGCTTCTAAGCTCGAAGTCCTTTCCCAAAAAGTAGTACGGAATTTAATCTCAGCAAGTAAAAAAGCCTGTTTAAAGTGGGGGGGGGGGGGGGGTATTTTTTAAGAAAAGTCGAAACTCTATAAAATACAAATGAAAATATATTTAAAATTTAGAGATAAAATTTTCTTACAGATTTTCGATAAGGGTTTTTATCGATAACCAAGGTAAGCTCGATATCCGCGTTGCAGATGCGGACATTAAAAAAAAATTCAAGTCTCTAGTTCTTATAAGTATCTACTGAAATAGACGTGTTCATAAATACGGATAGACAGACAGACAGAGAGGCATAGCTAAATCGATTATAGGTGTGGCTTATCAAGTAATCTTAATTCTTCAATGATTTTTGTTCTGTGAACAAGTATCATTGAGTCGTTACCGCTGATTTTTAATATTT